TCGAAGGAATTATAACGCTATGCCTTCTAGAACACGTTACCACTAAAAACGATTACCGATTTTTTGCTGGGAATCATGACTGTAAATATATATATTTTTAATGTTTTGCTCAAAGTGGTCTTAGAGGGGTAAACACTAAATTCGGCACACCTACACCACCTCCTCTTTGTTTTGAAAACAATGGGACCTAAAAAGTGTACCACAAAAATCATGTATGCGTATTAATATATAAGATGTCATGTTGCTTTTTTAGCTGATATTCGGCTCATCTACACCACCTCCTCTTTCTTTTGAAATCAATGGGGATTGAGTACCTCAAAAGTGTACCACAAAAATCATGTTTGCGTATTAATATATAAGAGGTCATGTTGCTTCTTTAGCTGATATTCGGGCTGAACTTGTACCAATCATGACCGGAAATAGTTTTCTTAATATTTTGCTCAAAGCATCTCTTAGAGGGTTAAAAACTAAATTCGGCTCATCTACACCACCTCCTCTTTCTTTTGAAATCAATGGGGATTAAGTACATGAAAAATGCACCACAAAAATCATGTTTGCGTGTTAATATATAAGATGTCATGTTGCTTCTTTAGCTGATATTCGGGTTGAACTTGTACCAATCATGACTGTAAATATATATTTTTTTAATGTTTTGCTCAAATTGGCTCTTAGAGGGTTAAAAACTAAATTCGGCTCATCTACAGCACCTCCTCTTTCTTTTGATATGAGTTTCATTGAAATCAATGGGATTAATTACCTCAAAAAAGTACCACAAAAAATCATGTTTGCGTATTAATATATAAGATGTCATATCAATTCTCTAGCTGATATTCGGGCTGAACTTGTTCCAATGAGGACTGTAAATATATATATTTTTTTTTAAATTTGGCTCAAAGTAGCTCTTAGAGGGTTAAAAACTAAATTCAGCACATCTGTACCAACACATCTTTCATTTGATATGAACTTCATTTAAATCAATTACCTCAAAAGTGTACCACAAAAATCATGTTTGCGTATCTATATATACAAGATAAGATGTCATGTCGATTCTCTCACTGATAGTCGGGCTGAACTTGATCCAATCAGGACTGTAAATAGTTTTGTTTTAATATTTTGCTCAAAGTGGCTCTTAGAGGGTTAAAACTAAATTCGGTGTATTTATCCTTATGTAGCGAACGTATATTCTGAGTTTGAAGCACATCGGACTATAAATGCGATTTTTTAGTATAGCTCGACCCCTGCGCCACCTATCCTCCTCCGAAACACCTTTCAAACAAAGCAATCATTCGAATCGGTTAAGAAACATACGAGAAAATTGTTCCCAATTATTCATGCTTGCCTATTTATACAGGGTGTCCCAGAAGCAACGTGCCAAACTTTAGGGGAAGGTAGGTGGGAGGGGGGGGAGGGGGGGCGGTGGGGGTANGGACTATAAATGCGATTTTTTAGTATAGCTCGACCCCTGCGCCACCTATCCTCCTCCGAAACACCTTTCAAACAAAGCAATCATTCGAATCGGTTAAGAAACATACGAGAAAATTGTTCCCAATTATTCATGCTTGCCTATTTATACAGGGTGTCCCAGAAGCAACGTGCCAAACTTTAGGGGAAGGTAGGTGGGAGGGGGGGGAGGGGGGGCGGTGGGGGTAGAGCTCACTGATAAACAAAAAATTTTCAGGTAAAAGTGTCATCGTTTTTGAAATATTAACATTTTTTCGAATTTAAAAAAAATCGTGCCTTTTGATGTGTATGAAGGTTCATTTATACTGGCATGTATACACAGCAGCAAGCTCATGCTACCACCAGCGATGTCGTATGCATAAAATTTCTACTGGGGTATCTTGTAACTTAGAAACGTTTACTCTGTGTGCACTTGTTACCTTTTCTCTTTGTTTTGATTCTTAGCACTTTTATGTGTACACTTATGTATTTACGCGTTCAACTTGTTATTGTTGTTTTTTTTTTTGTTTTCTGTCTTTATTTGAAAGTTTTTTTCTCGCTTGCTGATAAATTGCATTCCCAGCCAGCCAAAGGCGGAGCGCTCCGAATATGGAGTGAAAAGGAACTCCCTCAGCAACTCCTCGAAATAGCGTTTTCGGAGCCATCATTAAAATGCAAGCAAATTTGGACAGCTGCTGTTATTGTACAGCGCCACTTGCGGCCGGGTAAAATACTAAAATTTAGGCTAAGTTATTTTTAGAGAAAGGGAGGACAGAACCGCAATTTTTGGGGATAGCCAAAGATTCGGATAAAATGTTAGCTTTCGCATTTTAGCATATTTTAGCGATAGCGAAAGTTAGAATCCGGCTGCTGGTCGACACAGTTGGCTTTGATTTCTAAAACAACTTCATCAGTAAACGGGATAATAATTCCATAATTTTCGTCTTTGTTTGATAAATAATTGCAAAAATCCGCGTTTTTTCTTCTAAGAGTTTCATGAAACTTTCGCAAATATCAACAGCACCAAATTTGTTTTTCAACATGGGTGACAACCGAAGAAAGCCTTTCTTTCTTTTAACATCCAATAAGCCAAACTACAACCCTCTCGTCTTTTCTAATAGCATGATTGCCCAGAAAAAACTGTTTTTCTTGAAAACTGCTAAAAACGGCGGCTTAAGTAAAATAAGATCAACTCACTACATCCCAATTTTTCTATTTCCATTTCCATTTTGTTTGCCGAAAGTTAACAGCTTACATTAAATCATAAATGGAAACAAATCAGAAAATTTTTGAGGTTTTGCAAATAAGTCAGTTTGTTTTGCAAAAAAAATATAAAAAGTCAATTTTTGTTTTTAATTAGGACATAGGTTCTCACCAATATTTTTGTTTTCCATTAAAAATTTTCCTTTAATAACGTTTTGAAAGTGTAACTTTGTTTGATTGCTGTCTAATGGTGATTTTTATTTTACAAAAACAAATTGAAGTTTCTGTTATTTTGGAGTATTCTCTATAGAATGGCATCAAAAAATAATGTAAAACTGCGTTTACGAAATTGGACTTTCGCACAGCCAAATGAATCATTTGACCTAATGTGCAGTGCTCAAAATTGGCTCAAAGTGAACATGCGTACGCAATTAAAATGTTTTTTATCGAAAAAATCACACATACACACATCAAAATTCCCTATAAAAAAAAATGTTTTTTAAATTTCCCAGCCGGCAAGAAAACGTACATTTTACGAACATTATGTTTCACGAGGGATTCTCGATCGGCGAAAAGTTAGAAAAAGGCTCGTAAACGATAAAACAAAAAAAGTAAAAGAACGAGACTTGTAGTAATTTGTCAGCAAAAGAAAAAATTTTCATTCTGTTGGAAATTTTTCTTGAACCAAAATATTTTATAATATATAATATTCGCATACGAATGCTTTTTCGATCCGTTTACGACTGTTCGTAAGCGATCGACAATTTCAAGCGAAAAAGTACACGAAAACGAACCGTAGATGGCTATCATAAACGACTTTTTAGCCGGTTTTTCTTCGAGAAAATATCCAGTTACGAGCTCGTTTGCAATGATTTTGCTGGCTGGGTTATATATTCTCGAAAAATTTTCCACATATAAACAAACAAAACAAAATTAGTTTTTAAAAATATGGGGATCGATTTTTTAAAGCGGGAAATCAGTACTTTAGACTTTTTCATGCAAAAAAATCAGTACTTCTCAGTACATTTTTATTCAAAGCGAAATTATGAATGTAAGTAACAGATAATACTTTAAGACGCCAGTGTTCTTATTTTTAACAATAATTTGGTATATAATTAAAATATAGTTCATAAAAAATAAAAATTTTATTCATTTTAACATGAGTGTAAACATCACTGTACACAGGAGCCAATAAATTATTTTATATTTATGACATATTTGAATAGCAATAATTAGATCATTTCTATTTTCAGTGTTTAAATAGTAAAAAAATTCTATACATTTACAGCCCGATTCTGTGAACTTGATAAATTGAAAATCTTTATAATTTGTCAATTTATTATTATTTATCAAGAATTGGTATTCTAGCACGGAAATCAAAAGCTCTTTTCTTGATAAATTATCAAGATTGAAAATGCTATTGGCAAATTGAAATTTCATGTGAAATGTATAAATTTTGTATATTAATAAATTTGTTTCTAACAATTAAATACTCCATGTGCCGGCATTTGAACCTGCGACACACGGAATTATAGTCAACATTTCTCCCTACTCGGCTACGGCAGTCAAAAGATTTTTTGCTTTTAAATTCATATTTTTCATATGTGACAATGAAATCAGTTCCACTCATGTGGAAATCGTAGAGCTTTTTGTTTTATAAATATTGACACAGAATGCGAAGGAAGCTTTTACTTGATAAAAATCTTGATAAAATTTCTTTACAAAAAATTTATCAAGAAAAGACAGAATTGGGCGGTTAATTTTAAAGTTACTTTTACCGCCCAATTCTGTGTTTTCTTGATAAATTTTTTGTAAAGAAATTTTATCAAGATTTTTATCAAGTAAAAGCTTCCTTCGCATTCTGTGTCAATATTTATAAAACAAAAAGCTCTACGATTTCCACATGAGTGGAACTGATTTCATTGTCACATATGAAAAATATGAATTTAAAAGCAAAAAATCTTTTGACTGCCGTAGCCGAGTAGGTAGAAATGTTGACTATAATTCCGTGTGTCGCAGGTTCAAATGCCGGCACATGGAGTATTTAATTGTTAGAAACAAATTTATTAATATACAAAATTTATACATTTCACATGAAATTTCAATTTGCCAATAGCATTTTCAATCTTGATAATTTATCAAGAAAAGAGCTTTTGATTTCCGTGCTAGAATACCAATTCTTGATAAATAATAAAAAATTTACAAATTATAAAGATTTTCAATTTATCAAGCTCACAGAATCGGGCTGTTAATTTGAAGTTCAGTTTCAAAAATTTTAATTAGAAGACGGTTTCTCTCTTTGCGCAAGGAGGCAAACCTTATACTTAACACATTGACTGCCACGTCGGCCATATATGTGTGACACTGTACTATGCGGTTTACGCCACGTCGGACACATATGTCCGACACGACTATTATTCTCTCTCGCCATGTCACACAGCAACGATTGAGGATAAATATGATTTTATTGCAATAATAAAATATATGGCTTCCCATGAAATTTCTGTTATAGTGGCTTCGGCGCAGCTCAAAAAACAATTGGAAAAAATTGGTTTTGAAAAAAAAATTAAATTCATTTTATTGCAGTAACAAAAAATTTTTTACATATTATTTTTACAAAGTAGTTATACAAATGAACCCATTAAACTTGTTTGTGGTGATTCCCAAAACATTCTAAACACATGAATGGCTCTTGGGGACAATCCGGGCAATACGTGTATACTCTTTTAGCCTTCTTTCTGGCGATCTCCCTTCCTTCCATTTGTTTTATTCTGGAATAACATAAAGTACATGTTCGACGTAATTTTGTATTACTTGCACTTAGTTTTATTTTTAAAATATGAATATTGCCTGATTTTGGCTTCATATGTTTTTCTGGCTTCTGCAAATTTAGAAGTGATGAAGTAATTTGTTCTCTAAACCATCGTATTTGTGCATTATTTTTTTTCGTAGCTTTCTTGTACACTACAAAAGCATTTACTACTGATAGTCCAAGCAGATATTCTATACCCAGTTTGCGGTACCACTTCACGCCCTTCCTCAAAGTAGTAGCATAAGAACAGTTCTGGTCTGATAAATCAATCCCTGCTTTTCCTTTGTTGTAAGCAAGTATGGCTATTGGCTTTTTCTTATTCTTCTTCGCCAAGCGACGTTTCGAGCCAGAGGTGTTACTGGTTGATGGTTGGTCAAGGTCAGAAGCTAATGCTTGTTCGCCATTATCTTGAGCTTCTTCTACCATTCTTGGACTGTGTTTTGTTGACAGAATCCGTACATCACGAGCATCGCGCCATTTCAGTACCACAATTCCATTTTTCTCTTCTCTATGAATTACCTGACCTTTTTCCAATTTGGCATCAAACACTTCTTTGGGCATATATTTTTTGTTTGCTCTTAGTGTTCTACCTTGATTTAGTAAGTCCTGCGAAGGTCTTCGCAAACTGATCGTCCCAGGCCAAGATTTCTTGCGTAAACCTCTGACTTTCCTGAGTAAATCTTACTTGCCCATGTATATCCTTCTGTAGAACATAGCTTGAATAATTTTATGCCATACTTATGGGCTTTGTTTGGAATATACTGTCGAAATACTAAGCGACCCCTCCAAGGCACAAGAGTCTCATCAATTACAAAATCCTCATCTGGGTATAAAGTTTCTTGGTATTTTTTTTGCAACATATCTATAAGTGGTTGAACTTTTCCAGTCCTATCCCCTTTTGGAATGGTTTCATTGTTGGCGAAGTGTATATTTGCTAGTATATAACTCAAAACGTTCCGCGGCATTACCTTGGGCGCTACATTATTCTTATAAATTTCACTTGTAGACCAGTATGATGGAATACTACCACATCGAACAAGACCCATCCATAATACAAGTCCCAAGAACTTTTTCATTTCATCGCTATTAGTTGGAGTCCATTTTTTTATTCGACTTTCGCGTTTCAATTCTTTTGCAATCAGTTGTTGCTCAGCGTATCTATTTGTTTCTAATACGATGAGGTTGATTATTTCATCGTCAATAAACAAACGAAAACCATCAAATGGGGTGACACTTTGTGGGACACTACTTGTAGGCCTGATTTTCCCGAAAAAATAAATGTTTTATGACGACCTTCTATTCAGACCAGACAGCATTTATAATTTGGGGTTCACTTGCGACCCGATTTTCTTGTTCTTCATCGCTTTCTTCCCTATTCTCTTCTAGTGCTAGGCTTTCAAGAACTTCTTCCATATTATTTATGACTTCCTCATCTTCTTCACTTTCCGAAGAGTATGCAGTAGGATTATACATAGGATCCTTTACAGAGTCATCAGAGCTATAATCTTCATCTTCTTCACTTTCTGGAATTGCGAGTATTTTTTCTAACTCAGTATCTGATAAAAATTTTCTTTTCGACATTCCGTAACACAAATATTATCAACCAATATAACGCGATCAAGTCTTCTTGTTTACTGAGCATGTAATAAGCTTTGACTTGTTTCTGTTTGCAAAAATAACGGATTCAAACATCAAAATACATTGTCGTCATATAACGTTGTTTGGTGTTTGTTTGCAAAAACAACATACTCCCAATTGTTTTGTTTTTGCAAAACGAAGTAGAGCTTGTATGACGACGATGTATTTTGATGTTTAGCCAATGTTTTTGTCTTGCATATATGTCCGCCATGGCCCTGAGTTAAAAAAACTCGGTAGGCGCCACGTCGAACATATGTGTGTGACATACTAATTAGTTAAAAACTGCCTGTTTCTAAGCAGAAAATATTACCAGCACTACCCTAAATTCCAATTTTGACGTCTCTGATGAGATTTAAAAAAAAAAATGCTGTGGCCCCAGAACATCTTATTTGCTGAAAGTGCCTTGGCAGTCAATGTGTTAAAATCCTCTCAGTTGCTTCGTCTGAGTGTGGTATTGAAAAAAAACCAAATTACATATTTTTTCAAACTATAGAAAAGTACCAATTTTTAAGGACTTTCTCTATATTTCATCATGGAAGGTCTAAGAATTTGTTAAAAAGAGTACCCAACTCTATGTCTTGTATGCAAAACTCTTTCACAATATCAGTAAATTGAGAAAAAAGCATTGTAAAACTGAATTTATATGAGGCGATTTTTTAGACGATTAAACATTGCTCAAGAAAAATCGCTCCTGTTAATGGTGATTCAAAAATCGCTTGCCTCACAGTAGACAGGAAGTCAACTTTTGCAGGCGATTATCGCCTCATCTAAAGGCAGTTTAAGTTATAGGCAAAAGCCATTCGAATATTAAAATTGGCTGCTATTAAACTGAAAGATATTTTCGAGATAACTAACAATACTCGACAAAAAAGTTAGCCTTCTTTTTAGATAATTTAAGCTACATCATATTATCGCACTCGTACGTTACGACCCAGCGATATGCCCATAAAACTATTAATATTTTTGATTGTTTTTGAGGCCAGTGTTAAAATTTCCTATTGGGTCATTGGTAGAGCTTTCCGGCCGGTATATTAATATTTTTGTTTTACTATCTTTCACAGTGCAGTTTAAGCAAGTTGCAACGTTATGTAAAAAAAAATTATTATTATTAAGAAAATCATAAAGTATGTATTTTGTTTAAATTGAAAATTCAGTACAAGTCAGTACAAATTTTGAAATATCAGGACATTAGCGAACTGATTGAAGAAATTAATAAAATCTGTACAAGAGTTGAAAAATCTGTACTGATAAAATCAGTACGTCTGGCAACCGTAAAAATATGCCATCTCAGAAAAATTAAAAAAATCACAATGGTAGCTCTGCGTATTGCGCACTTTACAATAATTTGAGTTATGACTTTTCCTACACCCAAGTTGAGTAAAATGAGTACATTACAAATTTGCAAACTTTTAAAAATTTTGTTTGAATATTTTTGGTCCAAAATTAGGGCCCAATTGGGAAAAACTTTTGGCTCTGATCGGTCAATCTCAAAAAATTTTCAGCAAGGAAACATTATCATAATGGGCAACAATTTTTGTGCCCTCAACTGGCACGAAAATCTGCTTGCATCATATAAGTGTATTTTCAAAAAAAAAATCATAACTCGAAAACGACGAATTTTAGCATATTGTTACTCGTACTGAAAATAGATTATACTATTCCCTAATAGACAAGAAAGTTTGAGCATAAAAAGATGTGGCAATTTAAAAAAGCAATTCGATTTTTTTTTGTTTATTAACAATAATTACTTATTAATAAACAATTACTGATATTTAGTTCACTAGATCGATTCAGTAGATCAATATCTGTATTTAAAAAAAAAGCGTCAAAATCTTTGCTTTTTTGCGGCAGTTCTAAGCGATTTCATCAATCGTTGCTATTAAGAGAGGAAAAAAGAAGCGTTCGTATTCAAAGACAAAAAAATTCATTACTCGAAAAATTCGAATTTCGGAGCAGAAAGAAAAAATACATGTCTCCTTAAATTGTTCAAGGAACAATCCCTGTGAGTTTTATCGCAAACTTAAATTCATTTTCCCCCGGCCTGGGTGATTTGAGATGCAAAGACCCTGCACAAAGTTCACAAAAATTGATTATACTTAAAAAAGTTTTCATCAAAATTTAGATTTTTTAGAAAGATTTTGTGTATGCGGTTTTTTACCCCGTTCAATTTTAGTATAATAAGTCTCTAAAAATTACCGTTGAGTTTTTAGATTTTTTGTTGTAGACGGTGTAAGCATTTTTGTGAACTTTGTGCAAGTCTTGAAACTTGTATTTATGCCATTTCTTATATATGTAGATCGATCCATATTTTAAATGAAAATTATTAACAATTAATAAATAAACATACGTTACCAGCAGCATCATTTTGAATTTTACTGGTATTATTTTTCTCGCAACTGTATGTGACTTTTGACTTTGAATAAATATCAGATGTGCAATCAACGGGAACTTTTCACATTTCATAATGGTGTTCGCGAAATTCGCACCAGTTTTCAGCTTTATGCGGGTTATAAAAATCTTGAATGTCTAACTTGGCCGGGATATACCGAAGCCCACTTATTGAAAACATTTTTTAAAGGGTATTTTTTATACTTACCGCTTTTAACCATGCTATAATTTGGTACAGAGGAATATTTAATACATTAATGATACTCATAATATAAAGAAAAGTAAGCTCCTACCTGCTTCTCTTTAAATGTTTCGAAAGGGAATACAATACATACATATGTATCTCTCATCTCCAATTGTTTGTACATAATTCACACTCACCTCTAAAGTAAAGGTTTAAGTGGGCGTGCTTTTAACTTTATTCCTAAAGATTTGAGTGGATGATCGAAAACAGGTGTCGATAATGCCAGAAAAAAAAAATTGAGGAGATTCTACGAGCACCCTCGAAATAAAATAAAAGACAAATTTTTTATCAAAAGTACCGTCGCATAAATTTGTAACAGTTCAGTAAAAATGAAGTTTCTGTACAAGGACTTCTCCTACATATTTGTAACTTTTAATGGAGATTTTTTTGCAGTTTCTGTAATATTGCATTTATATGCTAAGTGAGTGTATTTATTGTTGGATTAGGCCAGCAAATTTAAAAAGGGATAAATGTTTACCAAGTTTCGCTGTGATATTTAAAATTATACCTCGTAAATGTAGATTGCGACAAAATGATAGAAACGCGATATTTTGATCACTTTTGATTATTTTTCTGTTATTTGCTTAGTGTTTATTAACTTTTTTTTATTTTTATATAATAGTTCATCATCGTGCCGCTTATAAAGACTTATGGAAAATTGTGTCAAATTTGAAGTACAAATTCAACCAAGTATTCGAAACAATTCCCATTTTCTTAAATTTTATAATCACGTAATACCATGCAGCGAAACTATTCCAAATGTTAATTTGTCTATATAACCAATTGTTTGTCTAAAGCTGCGTCTGTGCACCACTAATTAGTGTATGATTTTAATTCTCTATCTTCATTGGTCTTCGAGTTATGTACCTACATAATAAAATGCAGCTTGATGGGTCATTTCTCACGGCGTTCTCAGACAATGTAGAAAATGTTAAAATACTTGTTCTATAAAAGATATAAACAATCTTTATTATCGTCTGGTTATATTTAAGAAAGTCAAAAAAGGGTGTTGAAAGTACACTATTCAGATATTCAGAGGTAAGGTCACGCTAAGTGCTTACGCGAATCTGTATAGAGGAACCAGTAATAATCTTATGAACTTGATTAATAATCCATTAAATAAAAAAAAAAAAATCAAAGAGTAAAACGTACGCAGTACCTATTGGATGAATTTAAAATTAAGTTCTTCAATTTCTATAGGTATTTCCAGTTTTAAGTTTATAAAATTAAAATTAAAGTCTTTCATCT